AAGAAGTCAATCATACTTCGTTCCAAAACAAGTCTTAAAGTCAAGATTGTGACATTGAGTGAATAGTATTAAGAAGGTTTATAACATTCATCAATTGTGGAAAGTTGTGATGTCTTGGATAAGACAAAGACCAACTAAGACCAAAATTATGAAGTGTTTTGTTTTGATAAAAGCTACACTAACTCTTGAATATTTGTTTGTCAAGAAATGTTTATTGACAAAGAATCTTATATGTCAAGGAGTCAGTGGGAGTCTTAATGGTCTTGAAAGTTTCAAGAACAAATCAAATAAACCTTATCGATCATCACTAGCACACGAGTTGAGGTTTACAACCTATCGTGAAGACATTATTTTGTTTCTGTGCCAATCCAATCGAGTTAATTATGCATGTGAGTCCTATGAGTTCTCATTTGAATGCATAAAAGGCAAGGACCTTGATCAATGGAAAGTACATTGATAGGAAAAGGTGAGCTGCTTAACTACTTGGAAGACGTGGTGGGCAGCTGTGCTACCATAAGGCAAGAAATCAAGATTAAGAAAGTTCGATCCATATGAGTTTGAATTTGTCGTAAACTTTGGTTTTAACAAATTCACATGGATAGGAACACATACACCGTTTAAATCTAAGTGTCATAAGATTTCCTCCTTCATGAAAATGATTGTGAGAAAATGCTTTCACTAAGAAAGATTTTAAAAGATAGTGATTGTAAAATTGCATTCTCGAATTCGATCATGGTTACGGCATCCCTTTCCATAATTTGAATTGTGAGGTTTGGCAATTAGTCTTAATTGTTAAGACACACATATGAACTATCTAAGGCAAAAGTGTATAAGTTCAAGAAGCCTTGATAAAAGATTATCAAAGCACTAAGTATTAGAAACATGAACTTAAGAAATTCAATAAGTATTGTTTTTCTGAAAGTTAAGATGTTTATGAATACATGTCGAAGCTAGTGGGAGCATAAGTGTTATGTTTTATAATAATCATCATGATAGTGGGAGCATAAATGTTATGATTGTATGATTATTAAGGCACGTATTGCATAGTTGGCAATATTAATTATAGAAAACAAGAGTCATACTTTGCAAAGTTGTAAGAGTTGAAAGGTTGTTTTGCTATAATTAAGGGAGAGAATATTATGCTTCATTTCAAATCTAAAGGATTAGGTTGTGGAATGTTAATAAATTTAGTCAAAGGTACATAGTGTGTTCTTAAAATTTCGATTATGATTACGCATTCCTCTTCACAATTCGAATTTTGAGAACATAGCAAATAAAACATTGTGCATCGTGTCCCATACGCTTCGGGTATAGGATCGATTGCAAATGCTTTAATGTTTGACCATTCTAAAATTTTCCAAATGTCTAGTGCATTTAGAGGGAAAAGGGACTAGAATCGGTTTTGACTAAAATAATTAAACAACTATCAAAGGACAATCCAAAGTTCGACGAGGATTGGTCGCTTGTGAGTAGTTGGAAGTATAGTATTGGAAATTATGGAAATGTTTCCATATTGGATGGACAATATCGACATCATTACGAATAGATAAGATTCTATTAAGAAATTAGTTGTCATATGGAAAATATGGAAGCGTGTCCATATTGGGAAGTAAATATTGAAAATCTATGTTAGAAACCTTTATGCAAAAGGATGATCAAAGGAATGTACTTTGAGTGAGAGACATCGTATCTAAGGAATTGTCTTGTAACAATCTCCGATAGAGGACTTTGTAATATCATTGGCAATAGTCTTTGTGACTTTGGTGCAGTGACATTACGAAAGGATCGTTGCATAAAGTGTTAGAATCTAGCATATTCTATAAGTAGCAGAATTTGATATTCTTACACTTAAGAAAATGGATTTGGAGTTGTAAAATGAGAATGATTGGAAATGTGTTCAATTTGTCTATTTCACAAAAGTAAGAACCATAGGTAAACATTGTGTGCATGCTAGGAGCATGGGACAAGTGTAATATTCAAGTAAGAAGTTGATTACCCGAAACGACAAATAATGAGTAATCGATATGGTGATAAATAAAACGTGTTTTGTTTATACTCAAAGGTTTGAGGCCATATGGGATTAGTATTATTCTTGTGTTTCACTTTGCATGTTTTGACTTCCAGAATAATTGAGTTTATTAAGAATAATCGAATTATTCAAACGGGCCACAGTCGTTCATATGTTGGAAGTAGATATGAATGAAGACTGTCGTGAATTGGTGTGTGGATTGTCTAAAGAGTATTAGACATAAGCAAATGTTTGCTGCAACGTTCATGAGTGCTTATGAATATGATTTGAGCATTGGATTAAACCCACGCTCACTTGGATCACTCCATGAATTGTATTACAGTGATTAGTGAGACGATAACATCTTATATTCTTGAAACCGAGATGTGTGAGTTGTATCTTGCGAATCGGTTGCACATTGATAATATGTAAACGCACCAGTAACTTGGTGTTATAAAACATATTGTTGTGTGTAATTCGGTGAGTGAGTGCAAGCGAGCATTGTATCAAAGTTTATCCGTTCCTTTTATCCAAAGTAGGATAAAAGCGATATCTTTGGGCCCCTCGATGGTTTAGTGATGACATACGTAAATGCTCGGCCGGGCTAGGGCTAATTTGATTTGTTCAATTAGTCTGTCGTCATAAATCGGAAATCGAGATATAGTACAAAGAGAATGATTTGAAATCATATCTCATACGATATCTAGAATGGAGGAATATATGATCCCTTATCTAAGGACACGCGTATCTGATATGATCAGAGTTGACAGCGGCTTTGGAAAGCTACGATTGCAGATCAGGATCTGAAGTCATACGCAGAATAGTTGTTAGACTTATCCAAGTGGGAGACTGTTGGATTAGTGTCTAAGTCCATAACTATTTTGGTATGTACTTGACCCGATGGTGCATGGTCCTTTTGGGTTGCCTTCACCAAAGCAACTTGATAGGATGAATTATGGAGAGTAAGGATTAAATATGATTTATTAATATATTATGGGAATAATATATTAAAGGAGAAATCATATTGTTTAATTAATATTAGTCAATAATTAATTGGTAATTAGTTTTGTGACTAAAAGAGATTAATTAAACTTAAGGGACTGGAATTGTAATTATAAGATAATTATATAATTTGGGCCATGGATTGCCTTATATTAAGAGATGGACGAATTCTAATGGGAAACCCATAAGGAAATCGTCCATGGGCTTGATAAAAGGAGTCTATGGGTTGCTTAGGGCTTAAGCATCCAAATTAGGGTTTCCTTGTTAGATAACCCTAATAGCCCAACTATATAAAGAAACCCTTAAGGCTCAAAAACGTGGCTAAGCTTATTGTAAGGGTTTACACACATTTTTGGCAGCCTCCAACCTCTCTCCTCTTCATCCTCTTGCTTATGGTGTTTGTGAACCATTAAAGGAGTGACACTTGTGACTCTAAGCATTCCAAAGTCAATACAAGGAGATTTAGGATTGTTATTGCTACATAACAATCAAGGTAACACTATAAACTTATTCTCATGTTAATATGATTATATGTATGCTAGAATTAGGGTTTATAGTCTTGGATTCAAAGCATGTACAATAGAGAAACCTAGATCCAAGCTTTAGGGTTTGTATGAGCACATAGGATGTCTTATGACCAAAACCCATCAAAGACTCCCCTTAACAGCAAGCAAGCATCCTCGCACTCGAATCTCGAACTAGCCACCGCATAACACATAGGGTAGTTATCTCAATAATTACTCGATTCTTGAGTCTAAATAAACAAAAGGTTATTCTTTCTCTCTCTAAATATTGAATTTGGTAAAAGAATATTTTACCCCTCCATGGTCTCCATTACTCATGTTGACCAAACCCAAAAGTCAACGAAAGTCAAACTTGAGTTAATAGTCCATGCTTGACCCGACTCGCCGAGTGCACTAATGCGACTCGTCGAGTCCACTAGTTCCTCATAAGTCTCGTGAAGGCCTATCTTGCACTAATAGAAAAACAACCTTTTATGACGCTCATTGTCTGTCGTAAAAGGCTCAGACAACGCGCAAATGCGCGTCAAGGAAGGCCCCGTCATAAAGAGAGACGACGCGCTTTTACGATGCTCATTTACGACGCGCAATTATGACGCACGTTTACAACATACAATGCGTATCAAGGAAGGCCCTGTCATAAAGGAAGACGACACGCATTCGCGTGCCATAACCTTACGACGTGCGTGTTAATGACACGCAATACGTATCATTAAAACCCTTGTCAAGAAAGGCAATGTCATAAATGAAGATGACACACATTTTTGCGTATCGCAAATTTAAATGTTTTAAAAAAATATATTTATATATTTATTTATTTTTAACTTAAATTTGCTTTTACTGTCTCATAATAGAAATAAAATACCATATAAAAAAAATACAATCCATTGCATAAAATTTAATGTCATACAATTCTATTTCTTACAATATATAAATTTGCATTCATCTAATCTACTCTATGTTGCATAATAACAATTGAAATGAAGAATGCAACACTTGCATTTGTAGCATCTTATCTCTTTCAGCTTGAGCTTTCTTTTCATCTTCTAACTCCTGAGCTATTCGCTTTCATCAACCCTGTAAACACAACATAAAATCACTTGTCATTTTCATTCGACTTTTAAATTAATTCTTATTGGGACATTCTACTTTTAAATCTACCAAATGAGAACAACTAACTAAATGAGAACAATGACACCATTAAAAGAAGTGTGCATCACCTTTAAAACAAGTGTACAACTGTTTCAAAACATAGTAAAAGAAATCAATTAAGAAGAAAAAAAAGTGTACATCACCTTTAGAAATGTCAGCAGTGAAGTTAATGGATTCTGAAGAAGAAAATTTTGTTCCACTAAATGGTCTAAACCCACGTATATCAAAATTTAATGTCATCATAATGTAAGGAGCTGCAACATGAATTAACTTCATTTTAGTTTATGTCACGAAAATGAGGAGGGGGGATAGGTTGTTCACCCAAATTCATGGCAAGACAACTGGTGAAAAGGAAATCCGAGAAAGTAGTCACGATGAACAGATGCTTGATCTTCCGCAGGTCCATGCCAACTAACTTCATTGGTCACTTTCAAATGGCCTAGATCAATTTCCAAGAAACTGCATCCATGAAAGAAACACTGAGAAACCATTTTCAAAAGATGTTTATGGAAAGAGCTACATAGTGGTTGTATACACATGCTTTGAAGCCTTACAGTGGCTATATACACGTGCTTTAAAGCCTTCTTGACCTGATATGGTCTTGCAGAGTAGACTGGAACCACACTTTCAATTTTAAATTCATGAAATTTCCAACATTTTGTATATAATTGAAATATTTATTTTATGAAAGATAATATCTGAGTTGATTATATACGTACCATGCCAGATTCTTGGCACATTTGGACCAACTGATGACAATAACTGTGAGCAGCACCATCTGGAATAATTCTTGAGAAGTTGATACAAGCCCAGCAATTAAAACCACTTCCATTTATAACTTTCTGTGTCATGAAAATAGTATCATATTAATTATATTATAAACAATTGAAATGTTATTATCCTAAGGTTTGTACACTTCCTTCTTTATTTGATAATTGGCAGCTTCCAAAAACACAATCACTAAACCCCGGCCAAAAAAGTTAGGGAGAATTCCGTATATACCCTTATTAAATGTTTAAATATCGTATTTGCCCGACCTAAACTCTAAATATCATATTTGCCATTATTAATGTTTTAAAATATCTAATTTGCCCAAATCTATTTAAATAGTTTTTATTATTTGGTAATCTTTTTTTACATTTTAAAATCATTAAAATTGAAAAAATAACTAAATGGACAACAATACCCTTACCTTCTAAATCACATGAATCCGTTTACCAGCTGTGATGTGCAAAGAACCATAAAATCTAAACTCGCATAGAAAACTCAGTCAAAACCATCGGATAAATCATTCAAATCTACAACTAGAACTAGATAAATCAAGACAAAAAGCCACTATGTGAGTTTTTACCTAGGTTGGTGCATTTTGTCCGCCGCTGCTACCACCACGAACCTGAGTATAAAAAAATTCAACTGAATCAAACAGTAAACAACCCCAGTGAAAAGAATTGAGTTATATACCAATTTGTTTACCCATAAAGGGATTATTATAGAGACTTATACTGAAGTATTACCTACAAAGTATTGAAAAGGCATTCTAATTGCTATTCTAATTGCTCCATGTATCTCTTCCTGTCAACAGTAGGAATTTTATTCCCCGAAACACATTTGGCATTTGATAGCAAATAACTCAATTTCCTTGGTTTTATATGGTTATTATTGCTATCTAAGTGCAATAAGCAACCTGACAAAGATATTATCTTAAATTGACCTTAACACCACTGTATGGTAACCTGCGGTTTAAATGAAAATTAGAAGTGTAGAACCAAAATTAAGTCTTTGCTTTGGAGTATTAACCTAATCGAATGACATATATGTAAAAGGCATTGTGAAGATACTACAGGTTTCAAGAATTCAATATTGTAGACGCATAAGTGTTGATTCAGTTGCCAAAAAAGAAGGGGATATATGGAAAGGGAATAATTACCTGGTGCTTATTAACAATTGCAAGAAGGAAGCGATGAGAGGCAAAAAGGAAGATGTCTAGAGGCGAACGTCCACAGGTGATCATGAGGAAGAGTGGAAGATGAATTGAGGAAGACAACCAAAGCATAAAACCTCGCCGGAAAGATTCCTGCAATTTAAAAAGGAAGGGTATTATGGTCCATTAAGTTATTATTTTCAATTTTAGTGATTTTAAATTGTAAAAATGGTTTATTAAAGAATAAAAACTATTTAAAAAAACATATTTGGACAAATTTGATATTTTAAAACATTAAGAAGGATACATATGATATTTAAAGTTTAGGTTGGGCAAATGTAGAAGATTCGTGATGGTAGTTTTAAGTTGACACTTGTCTAATGCCTGGAAATCCATTAGAATAACCATGCAAAGTTGACAATTTAAGTTGACATTTTTTTATTTTTAAATATTGTTATTTAAAAAAAAGTAAACATTTCACCTAAAAAATTATACTATAAGGATAAAAAACCAAACCTGGATGTTGTAACCCTTTCTGGATATAACTTCGTTGACCAGGTTGAGAACTCCAGGAGCATTATTGACAAGAATGTTCACAGTGTGAGACTTATGACCAGTTAACTGTTTTATTAATATTAAATCTCAGTTGTATATAGCCCATAAACTATTTGCTAAATAATGATTGATAAGACATTAATGAAAAATGAGAAATTGACGCATATCTTACATCTTCTTCATAAAGCACACCCCAATGGGGGCCAAGGACTTGATTCATTGAGAACCTATTGTAGTACTCCACATGATAAACTTAGCCCAAACAGAAAGAATGGCTAATCTTTTCTACAAATACTTTTTCCAGTAAAGAAAAACAAACATTAAACCAATAGTCTTACTTGCATATAAAAACAAAAACTCCGAGAAGAATAAGGTAAGTAGGAGTAAGATGTACACAAATAGTGAAAGAAGATACTAGAAGTAAAGCAGGCAAATCTTACATGGGAAGGCTGAGTCTAGATAGTTATTCTCCCATGAAAGTTAGCAATTTTTCGATCCTATTCACCGTTTGTGTATTTCTCACCTGGATATTTTTGGAATTCATTCAAATAAAAATTACAACAAGAAAAAAAGTTTGAAAATATGGAATCCATGTAATTTAAAAATAAATAGACTTACGATCCAATGGCGAGCAGATAACAGATTACAATCCCGCATTGCTTGTGATTCAGATTTAAACAGTGTTTCTTGTGTGTAGAATGCGTTGTTGTGAACGTTGTCTTTTCCTGGTTCTTCAACTTTAACATCAACTTCAACAACCTTAAAATACAAAAACACAACAGATGCTTGTGTCATATATAAGACTATTAAATGGTCTCAGTTTTCTTTTAAAAAATAATAGGTAAAATTCCAAACCTGATTGTATGCTTCTCCAGGCTTACAATTAACTGCCATGTCCATTCTAGCAACAAAAAAATGTTGGTGAACTGGTGCAATTATAGTCGCATATTTTCTAACTTCTCCTGGTTGTAATGCTCCTCAGCTTAAGATTCCAGTAAGTTTAACTTCAGCTTAAATCTTTCCATCCTGCAATTAAAAAAACAAAGCAGCATTACTTATAATGTATATATAGAAACTGTTAGTTTCTTTTTTTATTGAAATAGTTATAAATAAAGTGACATGGTACCTGGCAAGGGACGAGGGCAAGATGAAGGTGACCATTCAATAAATTGAACTGAATCACGTGGAGAATCTAGCATAGTTATTCAATCAAAAAAATTCATGACTTAGAATAAAGATATACCACAAGGAACACTTTAAAGAACTTTTAATCATTTGGTGAACATATTGCCAAGGAAAAATTAATGCAGTTGTTACAGGGTTAAAAACTATAAATGAGACAAAAGCACATGGACCAAAACTGTTGCAACATGTTACATGAACTAAAACTATTAGAGTGACAAAAACTGTACAAGGACCAAAACTGTAGGAACAAAAACTAAAGACAATTAAAGCTAGCTATAGATAATTTAACTATAATGTCTCTTAGTGAGCTAAGTAGAAAAAAAATAGAAAAACATACAGTTGTTCTTTAATAAAAAAATCATTGTTATCTAACCTCTCACGACAGATGGTAATCATGAACCCGCCACCTGGTATGTGTGCAATTCCTTTTATACCATTATTGCTCGCCTTGCTTATGATATCAAACACTTGTTTTACATATATTACAGCTGGTTCCATTGAGGCTTCCGCTAATATAACTAATTCTTCACCCCATACATTCTTTCCCAACTTACCTTTCATTTTTTTTTTAAAAAAAAAGATTTTTATTGTATTGTATGCACTTCATCCTAAAATTCCTTTTATTGACTTCACTTGATAGGTGGTTTTTCAATGTAGTTGGAGATCAAGGTGTCCAATATCAGATACCTGGTGGCAAACATAGATAAGAGGCTCCATGGTACACCCTTTACCCTTCCTTATACCTACAAACCAGGAACAACTAAAACTATACTTAAAGAAACACAAGATAATTGCTATAAAGTGTATAGACGTGTAATATGAACAATCAAATGCAGAATACAAGTGAAGTTTACTTACTGCTACTTCAAGTCATTTATGTGATCAGTAAGTGAAAGTAACAAGATAAGGATTCCTCATACTTCAAGTTATTTAAAAGTCAAACATGTATGTGATCAGTAAGTCAAAATGACAAGACTTGTATATAAGCAAAACATACACCATCTGTTCCCAAAAAGGAATGAAGGAAAATTAGCATAATATACCAAAATATGGAAAAACGTTTTTTTTTATTTGTTTATTTAATTTTTCTTCCAATACTTTTTTCAAAAAATGTGAAGGAAGATGCTTTTGATACGTTTATTTAAAAGACATTAACAATTCTTATTCTGATTCTAGAATTGTTTAATTTAAGTCAGGCATTTCATCGAATGTCTAGAATGCATAAATTTTCTTTATGAATAGACGAGAATCAGAGCATGGAAAATGAAATTAAACCAAATCGATGATAGGATTGTATAAAGTAATGTAACAGATCTATTCTTACCTTGGAGTCGATGCCTATCCAGAGAAAGGTTAGAAGGCTAGTGAACAATGTTAAAGAATCTCAACAGATGTCGAACCCTAGAATGCTAAAGAACATGTTAAGCTCTAGAATGGTCACGAATGGTTGAATAAATACGATGCAGGAGGTAAGATTTCGAGATGTTGATTAAGCTTGTCGAACCCTAGATGGAATGACCAATTCTTAGCAACTCTTCTAGAAGTGAAAGTTGTGGCAGCCGCACCTCACACACAATGTGTGTGTGTGTGTCTTTTTCCTCCTCTTTTACGTTCTATGTGTCTTTGTTCCTAACTCGCAAAGAAATGGAGAGACATCACCAACTCTTCTGCAAGTGAAATTTGTGTCTTGTTTTGTCCTTCGATCGTGAGAGAGAAAAATGGAGAGAAATTAAGATAGCTAGGGTTGCAGATGATCGTGAGAGAGAAATGGAGAAAATTCAAGCGGGTTTTCAAAATTTTGGGGATTTCATTTTCCCCGTATCTATTAAACGTGCCTTACATTAAAAATATAAAGCGACACCTATAGAGGGCGCACATTTAAGATACAACGCCCTCCGTGTTTTTATTTTTTTTTTCTTTTGACACTAATTTAAGGGCACGCAATAATGCGTGACCTAAATCCTTAAATTTTTTTTAATAGATGACACTTTTTTAATATCACTCTCTTTTGCGTAACATAAATCATTGAGTGTCGTAATTTGCGCGTTGTAAAAGGCTGTTTTTCTAGTAGTGTTATCGAGTTAACCCTAATCTCGCCGAGCTATTACACGGTCTAGCTCATTGGGACAAACCCTAACTGACTCGTCGAGTCAGTTCATGGACTCGATGAGTCCCTTCGATCTAATTTTTCATTTAGACGATTTAAGGAAAATCTATTACTCCAAACACTAGATCTACTATCCTAAGGCTCAAATAGCACGTAAAGTTGCAAGCTTTCCGTTCATGCATGGCATATAAGGCTTAATATGCCAAAACATGCTCCAACAAGGGCTGGATGCACAGGAGCTTACTTTCAACTCAATAAAGCTCGGGTTTCTTGACTCACAAGGCCACTTATATTCCAGATTTGAGGTCCCAACTTCAAACCATACACAAATCACTCCATGACCCAAGATAAATGGAAGAAAGCCCTAATTCCTAAAAACGATCTCTTACGGAAATGATCAAGCTAGCATCTTTTTACCTCCAACTGAAGCAAAACTCTGAAGAATCTCTGGATCCAAAAGCCTTCTCTTGATCCAAGCCAAGATGCTCTCCAAATCCCCTCTCAAAGATTCACAAGAACACCCAAATTAGCCACTTTGTCTCTCATAATGGATGAAACTGATCCACGGTTTCCCACAGCGATCTATGGAGAGAAGGAGGTGGAAATAAGAGCTTTAGGCCATTTAAATAGGGCACAAACCCAGAAAATTAGGGTTTCTCTGCCCAACACCTACTCGGCGAGTCCCTCCTCTGACTTGTCGATTCCATTCATTAAATCCACGCCGTCAACTCGACTTGACTCGACGAGTTGGACCCTCAACTCGTCGAGTCTCTCCTTCGATCTCAAGATTAACATACATAATAACATCCCTGAAAATCCAAATTTTACAATACTCCCCCACATGAATTAGATTTCGCCCTCGAAATCGCTCCTGAACAACATATAGATCTAATCCAATAATCGAACAACACCATCAAAAGGATCTTATACCACACAACTATGTTCCTCTCTGGACTCCTGAATCCATACAGGAACCCCCCCACCCCCTGGGAAAAGGACAGACCCACCTGCCACTACGCTACCACTTCTAACTCTCCAGATTCTGGAAACTCTAGTGGCTTGCCACATAGCAAGACCATCCTCTCAAGATATCGCCACGTTATTCGCTTCGCGAATAACAAACCACGATAACTCACTGACCCTCTGATTCTCTAGTTGGGACCTCAATCGAATACAGAAGTTGTCTCACCCTCGACATATGTCGTCTATTACTCCTTAGTTCCATGCGTCTCACGGTTTTTCCCATACAACCGAACTGACCCACTCAGGTTTAAGAGATCATAAGACACACAATACCCTAAAAAATAAAACCCTTCTCTGAATCTGGAATCTCATTCGCCAACTCAATACATCACCAAATCCAAACTCGTACTCGAGAGTCTGGTTCGATATAGAATTTGAACCACTCGTCCCAATGGAGCACCCAACTCATGACCTCTGACCCACAACTCATGCGTACATCATTTCTCCAAGTCCTTTCGATTTCGATAACCACAACTTAACTAAGAATGTAGCAATTCCCAACATATATAGAGACCCCAATCTCGCCCCTGGTCTGACCACCAGGTTCTCGAACTCAAGGATTAAGTCTACCCAAGCCTAAAAACTCTTCCACGTCATACTTTGACTAGCGAATAATACGACTCCCCATAGCACAACAACACTCTCTCGCTGGCTAGTGAATACTACGGCTCCCTGCAGTATCTCAACACTCCCCAATGACTGGTGAGTACTACGGATCCCCGCAGTATCACAACACTCTCCCATGGCTGGTGAGTAATATGTCTCCCTACAGTATCACAACACCCTCTCTCTGACTAGTGAGTACTTCGACTCCCTGCATTATCACAACACCCTCTCTCTGACTAGTGAGTACTGCGACTCCCCGCAGTATCACAACACCCACTCACTAACTAGTGAGTACTACGGCTCCCCGCAGTATCACAACACCCTCTCTCTGACTAGTGAGTACTACGACTCCCTGTAGTATCACATCACTCCCCCAATGACTGGTGAGTACTACGGCTCTTTGCAGTATCACAACACTCCCCCAATGGTTGTTGAGTACTACAACTCCCCGCAGTATCACAACACTCCCCCAATGGCTGGTGAGTACTACGGCTCCCCGCAATATCATAACACCCTCTCTCTAACTAGTGAGTACTACAGCTCCGCACAGTATCACAACACCCTCTCTTTTCGCCCCACAATCTCATCCTTAGGTCATTACCTCACTACGTTCACTAACTCATGCTTCGTGACCCAACATAGATAGGTGCATACACGCACCCAGGCAAAGTATCACTACTCCTGACGACCGTCGGTGATAAAAACACTTTTTCTCACTTAAATTCACATCCTCTGATAATCCCGCTTGGTGTCAATTAGTTGAAAGGGCTCCCACCAGAACCATAGACACCGATACACCACTCGCCATCTCATAACTCAAGTCTCAAAATGATCCAAAATTAAGGACATCATACTCGGATATCTCGGTACATCATCATAGAATCTTACGACATCTTCCCTCATCCACTGACCTTCCACTCTCACAACTCGCAACCTCCAAATACTCCAACTCACATGAAACACGGAGGAATCGTCAATGTCAAGTACACGTTGACGACCATCAGAAACACCATCCTCTATGGTTCAAACCCATGTAAGAATACTCCTACCGACTCTGAAGTTGACTGCCAATAATTGTTGCCCTTCTCAAAGTGAACATAACAACCCATACATCGAACTGAAAATTCTCCACTGTCGAAACTATGCTTACGATCCAACCACCGCGAATTTATGATTACAACCTTGAAGAATCCCTAACCACCACAAGGTCTCTGACCAACGGCCGCCTACCGTGGAGACACTCATCCCTTCTTGAACATGTACAACATGCATTATCTCGCTCTGGACCTTGCCTCGACCACCAATAACCATGGACTCATGTATCCATACCGTAGGTCTCCATATCCATTTCTCTAACCACACTAGAACAAGTATATGATTCTCTCAGTAAATAATCCAGTTCTCCCCCACTCAGGGTTCGAAGCATCACCATTTGGTATACCACAGTCTACTCCACAGACTGGCTCGCCAGATGCACCGATTCCGCCTCATGGGATATACCACACCACGCTCGATGATATTCCGGATAATAACCTCATAACTCCAGTTATCCTGAAATCCATCAATATCATAAACCTCCTCACGTGACTGCCTCCAGCCATCTCGAAATCTCAGACCAACACACTACCGGATATCCCATTTGTCCCTAATTAGTCCCGTCTCTCGATCTGGAAATAATCCACTGCCACACCTCTTGTCTCCAATCCTTCCCCCAACGTCCTATCGTGTGGATTATCATAGAAACAAGAGACTCCACTCTCACAACCGACACACAACATAAGCAACGAGGGCCACCTCCCCGGTATATACACACCTCAAAATCTCC